TACCTAGATTTCCACACCTTATATAAGACCACATTTACCGGGTACTCAAATTTTAAATTATGAAAAGTCCAATGAGCCTTTGTTGCCGAGCAAACGTTGAATTTTCTCCATGTCCATGGGCTGAAAAAACAAACAAAAAATGAGGGCAACCGCACTGGCTGCTAGCTTAATCATAAAAAATACAACTTTACTTGAAGTATTTGCATTCCGTGTATTATATTATTGCATTTGGCCCACCACCCTCAGATTGATTTTAATTTTGGCCCTTTCAGGCAAAATGTTTGGGCACCCCTGATCTAGTGTATTTCATTTTTTATTTTTAAAGGTAGTGCGACCCCTGCTGGTTGCCGCATGACCTGATCACCTGTTTCCCCCATGTTTTTGTAGTGTGTCTTCTTGAATGGGTGTTCTTAAATGTAATTTCATTGTGCTCCATACAATGACAATAAAGGCATCATCAATCAATCAATACGCAAGTTTCTGTGCCCATTTTTTGCGTAAGCAATCTTTAGAGACCTGACCCCAGATCAGTTTTATTAGGTCCTGATACATACTACCCAAGAAAAGATGGAAGGTGGTCTTTGTTTCCCCTGTGACTGTAGGCAATATTAAAGTGTATTGATAAGATTAATTATTCACTTTTTGTTGTTTCTTTGTGTTTATTGTGCTGCAGGTTCTGCCTACAGAATCATTTTGGTTGGAAAAGATGAAGAAAAAAAGATCAGAATTGGAAATCTTGTTGTTGGACAATCAGGAACACATTTCCAAAAACAAACAGACAAGATATGTGTGGTCACACACGGGGAGTGGAAAGGATCTTCAGTAACGGTGGTTAAAACCTCGAACTTCTTCAGTATGTCCCAGGAAACTATTAAAGAAGAAATGAAGACATGTGTGAGTTTTTGTGAACCTGGACCAAATGTTCTGCTGCTGTTAGTAAAACCCTCCTCATTCAATCTGAAGAAGAGACAAACACTCAACTTCATCTTCAGTTTGTTTAAAGAAGATGCCTTTAAAGTCTCTATGGTTGTCAGAACACATGATGAGAGGAACTGTTCGTCAGTCATACAGCTGATTGAAGACTGTGATGCGAAACAGTACAATATGTATGAAAATGACGAAAGAACATTGATGAAGAAAGTCTGGAACATCATACGTGACAACAGAGGAGCCTTCCTCACCCTTGCTGATGACATAAAACCAGAGCCACACCAGATGAGACCTCCTTTAAACCTGGTTCTGGTTGGGAACAGAGGAGCAGAGAAGACTTTAGCAGCTAAATCTATTTTAAGTAAGACAGATCTTCTTCCAGCCTCCACCTCATCAAAGTGTGTTAAACATGAGGCAGAGGTGTGTGGACATTGGCTTTCTGTGCTACAGATGCCTCCTCTGTACAGGAAACCACCTGAGGAAGTGATGGAGGAATCCTTCAGGTGTGTCTCCCTCTGTGATCCTGAGGGGGTCCATGCCTTCATCCTGGTCCTACCTGTGGCTCCCCTCACTGATGAAGACAAGGGAGAGTTACAGACCATCCAGGACACATTCGGCCATCGAGTCAAAGACTTCATCATGATTCTGTTCACTGTGGACTCAGATCCTGCAGCTCCACCTGTTCTTAACTTTATAAAGGAGACCAAGGAGATCCAGGAGCTCTGTCAGAGCTGTGGAGGAAGATATTTTGTTCTTAATGTCAAGAACAAGATGCAGATCCCACAACTGCTGAAGTTTGTGGACAAGAAGAGAGAGTCATACACAACAAAGACACATGCAAATGCTCAAACAGAAAAATATAGAAAATTGCAAGAGGAAAATCAGGACCTGAAATTAAAGAAAAACTCCACCAGTAAGTAAACTATACCTTCACTATCCAACTCTGATGTGTTTCTTCTTTGTTTCTGCATCATAATGAGACCTGTGGCTGTAAGAAAACTGGATACTGCATAGCGGTAACATAATGACCCGTGCATGCATAAATGCACCAGAACTTAGAAGTCTTTATTCCTAATAAATGTCATGCTACCAGATGCATCCCAAAATTGTTGTGGTTTGGGTGGGGGTTTTTTTTTTTTTTTGGGGGGGGGGGGTGCATTGATTGACCTGGTGGATAGCCCCTCATCAGAGCTAAACAACCAAAGAAAAACTGAAGCTCCTTTTTTAACAGTTTTTGAGCTATAACCATTTTTGCGTGAACAGATACTCATTTTTCAGATAAATTGGGGGTCCGGGGGGGAGGGGAGGGGCACTGATTGGTGGGCTTGATAGAGCCCACCAATGTCATAGTGTCAGCTATGACACCTGATAGAGCTTCATCAGAGCTAAACAACCAATGAAAATCTGAAGCTTCTATGTTGAACAGTTTCTTAGTTTTGAGCGTTTTTGCATGTCCAGACACCCCCTCTTTGGATTGAACCCCCTCTTCAAATATGGGGTCTATTCTAAAACCGTTGGCTGGTGCAGTGTAGGTCGAACATATCTACAGCCCTCCCAAATTTCATGTTGATTGGTGCAGCTGTGTTTGTGCTACGGTTGACCAAAAATCACAGAAAAAAATACGTACGAAAACAATATGACTCCTGCTTACGCTTCGCGTGCGGGGGTCATAATAACGACTCTATACGTACAGTATGGACTAAAGCAGTAGATTTTACCCTATTACAAAAATATCAAGAATGCTAAAATCTATATTATAGTTGACAAAAACGTTTGTTAAATAGCATTTTAGGTTTCTATGATTATACAGTTGAAAAGTCTGGGAACCACTGGAGTACAAGTCACTTGTTCCACAATTCACAGAAACCTTCCCAAACATCACATTTCAATGCAACAAGTCAGTGTGTGGATGCTGGTTGTCCACTGATGTTCAAAATAAAATCCTTTGCATTTTACAGACAGAGATGAAAGCAACAAGTTTTAAAAACAACTTTTGTCTATTTTTACAAAATCAGTAACAAAAGTGACTAAACTATCCTCCCACACAAAGTCAGAACACTGAGCTGCAGCATGTGCTCTAATCATAATATATGTAAACATGTTCACTGTAATAATCACACAATTAAAACTGAATAAGAATTTTAGGTTATTTTTCATGGTCACCACCATACCAAATTTCAGCTTAAATTTAAGCTTATAGTTTAGACAAGCCTGGCGTGGCCATATCCAGCTGTGCGGTCACCCATTGGCAATAAAGGGTTGAACCGACACAACTTAAGCTCTGGTTCTCCATCCAGAGAACCCAGCTGTTCAGTGTTATGATGGAAGGGTGTCCGTCACCTTCTGAAGCTAAACAAAGATTATTGTTTTGGCACAGTTGCCTAAACAAGCATATCATGATCTGTTTAGGTAATATCTGATGAGAACTTTTTAAAAACATAACTGAAAGAATGAGTTACTTCAAACTCAAAAACATTTGCAATATGATTCAGACATGTCTCATCAAAACTTAAACCACAATAATTGGTTAAGTAAGATATTTCTACAGAATAATCCATACACAGCTGAAATGACATAGAAGGAGAAAAAGTATGTGTTCTCTTTTCTCCTGTAACTTGATTAAAAAAATTTTCATGAATATCAAAATGCATAATAACTCTTAATTAAGAGAAAAATCATTCAAATAAAAAGAAGCTTATTCTGTTTATTATTTGTTGAAGAAAAAGAGAATGTCTCTTTTACAAGTTAAGGTGACCTGTTGTGACCCAAATTCAGGTTCAACCAGAACAGAGTTCCATCTCTTTAAAGGGCCCATCAGAGGCCTGGGGTCAAAGCCAGTTTATTTGTTTATTTCACTTGAGGTGACCCCTACATATCCCCCTCTTTTTGCGAGTCATCACCCCTTGATGGTGATGAGTTGCAACACAAAGAGGAACACCTCGAAAGTCTTTCATCCTGAATAAATCCAGTTGGTGAAATGGCATAATCCAAGTGGTAATCCAAACTGAGAACTTTGCGTAATGTTTTTCTTCAGTTTTTTAAATTCTCTCTTTTTTTGTGTGTGATTCCCATAATGTCAGTGGGTAACTCCCATTGTGGTGAAAACTTCAAATCCATTGGACGACAGAGTCTGTAATCCACTGGAAGTGAAAGCTTTGTAATCCAACAAGGAAGAATTATAATCCACAGGGGTAATCCATTGTGATTGTTGTGGTTGATCTGGATTCAACCAATTTCTGGAACAGCACAGCGAAGTGGATCATTGGAAACCCCTTTGGAGAGTCGATCTCCAGAAGGTTGTAGGTTAACAGGGGATCTCTGAATCAAAGATGAAGACGGGATCTCTGGGTTGACGATGGAGACCACCAACAGGAGCGAAGAGACCACTGGAACAGTGTGAAGATGGGTACCCCCAGAAGGATGCAGGTCGAGAGCGTCAACACTTGCAGAGCCTTGGCAGAGGAGGTGGCCCATCGTGGAGGGTGTTGAAGGCTTAGTTGTTTCCAGTTGATACCCTTCTGGTTACTATGTGTTCTGCACTTACGTGGTTATAGGTTAGCCTAAAGTTGAGATTTTACATTAGGCTAATCCTGTGTGTGCCTCTGCATGTTAGCTATCATCTTTTAGATAAGCTACAGGAAGTAGTTAAAGAATGGGTTATTGCTTTAACTAAAGGTTAGATGCAAAGGTTTATGTCTATTAGAGGCTAAAAAGTGCTTCAGGAAGGAAGGCCTCAAATTCAAACTAAATTAACCCATTCTTCCAATCATAACTTGTTTATGTTTGGGGCGAGAATAGAAAAAATAGTCTGGTTATTGTTTTCTGCTTTTGCAGCTGTCAATCAATGAGCGATTTTAGATTCTTCAAATTTTATTTCCCCTTATTGTTTTGGAGTCTATGTCGAGACTCGTGTTTTGAAGATTAGGTAGCGCCCCCCCCCCCCCCCCGATTGTTGTTGGTGCTGCCGATCGACCATACTGACAACCAAGGGGAAGGGACATCTATAGACTGATTGGAGTTAAATGAAAGTTTGGCCAGTGACAAATAAAATTTTGCTTCTCCTGATTTTTCATAAGCACTGAAGAGCTACTTTAAATGAGCCCAGGAGCTACCGGAGCTACTGGGTGGAGACCCGTGGGCTAAAGGCTAATCAACAGTAATAAACTAGATACTGTGCTCTTATTTTGAAAATCCAAATGGGTTACATCCAGTTCAAATTGCATCGGAAAGCGAACTATAAATAGTTATTAAACTTCTTGTAGCACATTACTGTGCAGCGGTAACATTCTCTACAGTGTAAACCAGGCGTGTCCAACTCCGGTCATCAAGGGTCAGTCTCCTGCAAGTTTTAGATTTGTCCCAGCTTCAAAACAGCTGATTCAAATAGATGATTTACCTTCTCAGTTTGCCATCAAGGTCTGCAGAGGACCATTAATTAAGCACTCCTTAGGTTCAGCTGTGTTGAACCAGGGCAGCACCTAAAACATGCAGGACACTGGCCCTCGAGGACTGACTTTGGACACCACTGGTGTAAACAAATGTAGCAGAAACATAAAAAAGCACAATATGACACGTTTTAACCACATGGATGGCGCAGGTTAGGCTGAAGGCTAATCAACAGATAACTCCAAGCCAACACCGTGTGTGAATTAAAAAACAAACTTCCAAGGCTTCAACCTCAGATAAAAGCAAACATTCTAGAACTTACCCAACTGGAGAACAGACCTGAAGATTGTAGCATGTCACGTTAAAACTCAGAAGTCACATGAGAGATAGCTGCTTCTCTATGTCACTACAGCATGAAGCAAGGATTGCGCCCTCTGCTGGTCCGGATGTCCGAAAAATAGGACTTGTGGTGGCGGGCGGTTTTTAGTCAATTTCTCTGCAATAGTAATTTGAATCAAAAAGTTGAGGAATTGCACACTTCTCCACTCCAAGACATTTTGATGTGACTGTTGAGGGGGTACATGCTACAGTTCGAGCCGCTTTAAAAGTGGTGGAAGAAGAATAAAGAAATAAATAAAGACTTGGTGCAGAGTGTAGGGGTCACCTCGAGTGAAGAAACAGGAGTTAATGCCTCAAAGCAGGTCTCGCACAGGCCTGAGAGAAGGCAGGAACTGCTGAACTCTTATTTTAGGCCATGACGGGTCATTTNCTCTAGTGATGCACGAGGTGTTCTGAAACCAAATCAAAATGCAGAAGCATCGTTTAAAAAACCATCTGTGACTCAGTAACTAGAAGGACCTTTAGCAACTGGAGTTATTCAGACCTTGTATCTATGACCTTATCCGACTCACATTGTTGTGGTCCATTCTTTACAACTTTCCTTCACTTCAATGAATTTTGTGTGTTTCAGTTTGCAGATTAATTCCAAGTCCTGCTGTGTTTCATGACCCAGATTAGTGCAAACTTTATTCCAGCATAAACGGTGCTTTGGTTGACTCAGTTTGAGTTTTACTCTTGTGTGTTTAAAGGGATCACTGATTAGTTGTAGCATTTAATAAACATAGATATTAACTGTAAAATAAAGACTGTAAAAATACTATTGCCTGTTTCATTTTGTAAATTTTTTAAAATATATTTTAACACGGACAAAGCCTTTTTATTTACACACAAAGCATTCTGGGTAAATGATGACGTTATTAAATAAAGTCTAATGTTACAACTAATCATGGATCCCTTTAAAGAACGTTATTCCAGAAGGCTTGGAGTTTTTACAGATGCAGTTTTGCAAATTTAAGTTGTGCTTCCTTGYTTTTACAAAAGACGGGTGTTTATTCTAAAACAAAATCTATGTAAAAGTTTCAAACAACCTATGAATGCTGATTCAGCGTGTTTACCCAGYCATTACTTTTATTTAAGATCGGTGCATTTTGTTTTGCATTTATTTTTCTGTGTTTGAGTTCTGTTACTTGTGTTTT